GGCTCTCCGGGCGCGCGTGCGAGTGTGCGAGCCGGCGACGGCCTCCGGGGGGCAGCAGCGGAGAGCCGGACGGGAGAGCGCGGCAGGCGGGGCGGACTGTGGCCGCGAGCCTCGGGACCCTCGCGGCGCCGGCTCCGAAGCCCTGAACTCCGGGGGGCTGTGCCCAGGGCGCCTCGGAGCCTCGCAGCCGCCGCCCTCGAGCGCAGCCGCCGGCACGCGCGTTGGGACCGCAGTTTCGGTCGCCGGCCCGGGAGGGAGCGGCAGTGTTTGCGGGCGGAGGAGCGGCGGCCGCGGCACCAGCATCCCCGGCGCGGGTGGGACCGCCGAGCGCCGGAGCCGGCGGCCGGAGGCCGGAAGGGAGGTCGTGGCGCCAGGGCTGGGTGCGTTCCCGGGCGCCCGCGCTCCGCAGCCCGCCCTGCCCCCGGCCGCCCGGTGCAGGTCTCGAACAATGGTGCGGAGCGCGGGCGCGAGCCCCGCGTCCGCCCAGCGGTCGTAGAGGAAGTGGCCGGGCTGCGGGTGGGGTGGGCAGGGAGACGCCCCCAGCCACTCGCTCGCGGAGTTTGCGCGTCTGGCCTCTCGGACCTCGGACGCGGCTCGGGATCGCCGACGGCTGCCCCCCTGGAGAGTATGGTGCCGGCGCCCGGGCTGGTCTAGCTCTCCGTGCGCTCCTTTTCCTCCGCTCGCTCCGCCTCGCCCTCCTGCCGGGGTGGCCTCTGGGTGCTCCGCGTGTGGGAGTACAACTCTGCTCCTCCGGGGAGACCGGCTCGTGGCCGCCCAGCTGAACTTGCCCCTTGGAAGCGACCCCGGAACAGCTGGATAATGTCCACTCCGAGCAGATTCAAAAAGGACAAAGAGATCATAGCCGAGTATGAAAGTCAAGTCAAAGGTAAGGATGGGAGCGGCTGCCTGGCTCCTTTTGTGTGCCTCCGTGTCATTGTGTTGTCGTGGAGTTGCGTTTCTAACTTGGGGTCTGCGGTGGAGGAAGGCGGTGAGGGACAGTTCGAGCCCTGGCCGAGTCAGCCTGCAGGTCCGCCCCAGTTCCGACCCTTGTCCCGTCATGCCCGCCGGGACCTGGGCGCTGGGCACCTCCAACAGGGACAGAACTGGTGTGAACTTAGCCACCTTGTGCGGGCGGTTTAGACGGGGAGGCCGGCAGCGTGGTTCCTGCTGTTACCATCCTCATCGTCGTTCTTTTTATATGAAATCATTATCACAACATAATTTTTCTATGGAGTCATTTTGCAAAGTCTACACGCGAAGTGGTCCAGAGCTTCAATGAATGAAGGCTATTTCAGACATTTAAACTCTTCACTATTGAATTTATTAGGGCGAGCTCTTTTATAAAACAGCTCCCTAAAAAGCCTGGCAGTTCAGCCCAGTAGTGACTAGTGGAATCCGACGCCTCCTTTATAATAGGCTAGAATTCAGTGCCATCTTTTACACTCACATGAGAATATTGCTTTATCATTTGCTGGAAGCCACTGGAATGTAAAATGAAGGTTTGACTATTTTAGTTTCAATCCATTTACATTGTCAACTACTGAAAAAAACCTAATTAAGACGGATTAAGCATTTTTACTTTCTGTGCTTTGTGGTTTGAAAATATATTTTTCTCTCCAAGACAAGTATTTTATTTTGCTGTTGAAGTTATATCACATATGCATATATATATATATTTTTTTTTTCCCTCTTATGGGGTCTCTAAATTTGCTTTCCTGCTGGAGACAATGGGTGGAGTGTTGAGATCACTGGTGTTCTTTGGTATATTCAATGCAAAGTTCAAAAAGATTGTTATGTTGACACCTGTGTTTGCCTATATACAGTCTTATGAAAGGGCTGCTGAGAAAGGCATCACTGAACTTGCCTTGGGAGAGGCTGGAGCTGCCAAGCTGCTTTTGTGTGGTCAAGTTGTGAAAACGCCTGGGGTCCTGGCACAGGCGTGGGGTGGGGGTGGGGTGCCCTGGATCACCTGAGTGTGTGAATCTGGACCAACTCTAGCCACACCAGAGACTTGGGTTTCCTTTAGCTTGTCCCCTACGTGTGGTTAAGTGTCATTCAGGAAACACATGGAATACCTGCCAGCAATTAAGATAATTTATACTTACAGGAACTTGTTATGTTGATATGGAAGTTATATTAGGAAAGAGCCATTATTTCTAGAGCCAGGTAAACTTTCCATTGAAGGTAGCTTTTCTTTTCTCAATGAGTCCAGAGCAGCCTAAAACCTTTCATTCAAAGGCTGTACTCTTGTTCATAACCATCACTTCATCATGGTTCTTTGTGGCAGGTCTTTGAGGGGTGGAGGTCTGGTTTTCTTGCTTTCTGGAGCTTGATTGGCACAATCTACTTTCTAGTGCTGGTTTAGTTATCTCTGTCTGCTCTAAGGTCATTTGCCTGTTAATCAGCACTTATGTGAAAAAAATTTTTTTGATTGATTTTTTCTAGTATATGAGTTCCATTTTATCGGAAAGTATAAGGATTCTACATTGATTCAAACCAATTAAATGAGATTGTTACAATGTTTCCATTAAATCTAATTCAAGATAAAATTATGAACATGGTAAAAATTATTTTGAAACCAACTTTGTCCTACAGAAAGTAACCTTTGTCCTCCCTTACACACACACACACACACACACACACACACACACACACCCCACCCACCC